CATTAGGAATGCTCTGTGCTAGTGAGTTGTCCCCTGAATCAAAGGGTCCAGGGATCAAGCAGGGCTGAAGAGTAAGAATGACTCTCCTCAATATTACATCTAATAAGCCACTCACACAGTTTTGGCTTCTGTACTTGCAATTTTGGGATCTGCTGGTTGGGTTCCAAGGGAAGAATGTGTCCTTTAGGGAACCAACAATGAACTGGAAACTGAGACCTCCATTTGGGCATTTAGGGTTCTGGTGCCACTGAACCAAGGAGAAAAGAAGGGGGTTATTGTATTGACTGGGGTGCTTGATTTTAATTACCAAGGGAAATATGGCTGTTGCTAAATATTGGAGGGCACTCTCTGGAGGGCTTCCATAGTACTTCTAAGTTCAGCTGTTAAAAGTTAATAGAAGGTGGGGCGCCTGGGTGGCTTAGTCGGTTAAGCGTCTGACTTTCACTTAGGTCATGATCTCGTGGTTCGTGGGTTTGAGCCCCGTGTCGGGCTGTATGCTGACTGCCAGCTCAGAGCCTGGAGCCTGTTTCAGAGTCTGTATCTCCCTCTCTCTCTCTGACCCTCCCCTGCTCACGCTCTCTCTCTCTCTCTCCTAGAAATAAATAAATAAATAAAATTAAAAAAAAAAGTTAATAGAAGGCTATGGCAACTCACCAAAGGGAGAATCAGTTAAGGACTGAGGTACTTCAGGAATGAAGGGGAGTAGGGTCTCCCCACCAGGCAAAAACCCCCCTGTCAGCTAGGATGCTGACTGAGGGCAACAAGGACATGATCTGGGGTGTGAAAACAAGATCAGAGATAGCTATTTGATTTATTAAAATGAGGACTATGCCAGCTGTTTCTTTCTTATGTATTTTCACATGTTAATCACCTTCCCTCTCCTTCTGTTAACTATAAACGTTCTGGTGGTGACTGATTTACAATGGAGCCTCGAGATGACACGATTTCCTCCAGGAGGGGTTGTCTTAACTAGAATGCTCATCATCCAGATGTTCATAGAGACTGGTGGGACAGTTTTTCTTTCGGGGGAGAGATTAAGTATATTTTGTACAAGAAAGGTTTGTTGTATGTAAATCTCAAAAGAGGCAAAAGCATGGGTATATAGGAGGAGCAGGTAAAAGAGGGTGCTGGGTATCGTCCTTCAGCTCCATATGTACATGTATTTATATTTATTTATTCTTAGAGAGAGAGAGAAAGAGAGAGAATGAGCGAATGAGCAGGGGTCGGACAGAGAGAGGGAGACACAGAATCTGAAGCAGGCTCCAGGCTCTGAGCTGTCAGTAGAGCCCGATGCGGGGCTTGAACTCACAAACATCAAGGTCATGTCATGACCTGAGACAGAGTCAGATGCTTAACCGACTGAGCCACCCAGGGGCCCCTCCTCTGGCCCCATATTAACTCTTCTACACATTTTCCTCTTCACTGTTGTGGCAGGAGATCCACAAGCTACATTTTCCAAGACTTTCTGCAGCTGCATTTCTGTTTAGTCTGACCTGTGAGAGGCACTATTGGGATACTGGGGAGAAAACCATCTTCCAATAGCATCATAAACAACAGTACCGGCAGCTGCGGAAGCTGCAGTGCGCTAGCACTTTCACAACCTACTTTCACACTGTGAATGATGACTACCAAGAGATACTCCCTTCTCTTTTCCAAAATTAGCTGAAGATAGATCACAACAAACAAGCCAAACAATGACCACTTTGGTAGTAAAGGCAGAGAGGGTACTCCTTGCCTACTATTTGGGAGTTCAAATAGCATTTAGTAATGCATCTATAGTGGACTAATTCTACATTTTCACAAACGCCAGCTTTTAGTCCTAATAGTAGAAAAACTTACGGATTTTTTTCTCCTTCCACACTAACAGGCAAGTAGGCTTACTATCACTGGAGCCTGTGGCCAGTTGGGAGAGGACACAGTGGCGTGAGTTCTTGCTGCGACCCTTTTGTAATTCCAGTGAAGTTTGGGCATCACTATGGGGTCATTAGAACACCTACACTGCCATCAAAGTGTCAGCTGCGTGAAGTGTATCACGCAGAACTGAAAGGACATGCGAGCTAGGAGTACTGGCCCCCTGCCCAGGGAAAGCACAGGTATGTGTGGTGACCATAACTGAAGTACAAGAACTTAAACTGAGGGAATGTAATATGAATCCCGGGTGTTCCACACCAGTTACCTGGATTGAGTACGGAAATGGACCACAGTCTTTCTGTCTCTTGCGTCTTCCCATGACCTGAGCTGAAGTCAGATGCTTAACCGACTGAGCCACCTGGGCGCCCTGGATTTTCATTTTTAAAGGGAACGCCATGGAAAATGGAGCACAACATAACCAAACCTGACTGAAGCAGACTATGTGATGGTTGGTAGGGATGGTTAGGAAGGGAATTCCGGAATCGATTACCAGAATGGGCTGCAAAGATAAAAAGCGTTCATGTGAGAGCACAGGTAATGCTGAGGTAATACTACAGAAGCACCCAGAGAAGCGCAGAAGTCATTACTGAGTTAGCAGGTCAGGCCAGTGAACCGTATCTTACAACCCACTCCTCACCCAGGGTTGGTTTGCTGCTTCTGCATCTCTAGGAAACACAATCTATGGCTATCATTTACAGGATTTTAAATTCCTAAACAGGTATATAACTCCAGCCCTACATTTCCTTAAGGTTTCAATGACTATTACTAACAAAAAAGTTTAAATCATAACTTACTCCTTAAGAACTAGGAATTTCTGGGTGCCTGGGTGGCTCAGTCATTAAGCATCTGACTTCAGCCCAAGTCATGATCTTCCAGTTTTGTGAGTTCAAGTCCCACACTGGATGAGCTGGAGTCCCGCTTCTCTCTCTCCCTCTGCCCGTCTTGGGATTCTCTCTCTGCCTCTAGCTCACTTGCACCCCCCCCCCTCTCAAAAAAGAACTAGAAATTTCTACCACCACTGTCTACTATCAACATATTTGTCCCCTAGCCATTAGGTGTAACCTCTGAAGTAAAAAGGCTTTGGTTTTGATTAACTGCAATTAAGAAAAATCCTAATTATGTGAGGTTGAGTTTCAACTTCGTAATCTGTAAAAAGCGACCAGAGTTCCTCTGGGGTTGCTGTGAAGATCATCCAGGGGAATATATGTAACACACATAGCACTTGGTCTCACCCCTGATCAAGTTAGTGATGCTAGCTATTATTTTACAAACAGTCTGTACTGCTAAATAGATCAGACTTGAGGACTGGCTGCTTAATAATGACACTTGTTATGTAAGAGGATCTGTGTGTAATACAAAGATCTATTTAACATTTTAATAGGTTTATAAAAAGCTATTTTGCTGAAGATCACTCCCAACTCTAATATCTCTCAGCAGCATTATCTTTTAGAGAAAGGAGGAGGTAATTTTTCACCCCAGGGTAGCTTCAACACACTAAACTAAGGTGGAAATGCAGTTGACCACAGGAGGAGGCTGTTAAGAGCCTACTCTCCCTAAATGATAAAGTGTCAGATTCTTATTAAAAATAGTTGGTCTCACATGAAACGATGCTCAGCATCCCTCCTCATCAGGGAAATACAAATCAAAACCACACTGAGATACCACCTCAGGTCAGTCAGAGTGGCTAAAATGAGCAAATCAGAGAACTCTAGATGATGGCGAGGATGTGGAGAAACGGGCACCCTCCTACACTGTTGGTGGGAATGTAAACTGGTGCAGCCCCTCTGGAAAACAGTGTGGAGGTTCCTCAAAAAATTAACAATAGACCTCCCCTATGACCCAGCAATAGCACTGCTAGGAATTTACCCAAGGGATACAGGAATGCTGAGGCATAGGAGCACATGTACCCCAATGTTCATAGCAGCACTCTCCACAATAGCTAAAACATGGAAAGAGCCTAAGTGTCCATCATCGGACAAATGGATCAAGAAGATGTGGTTTATCTATACAATGGAATAAAACATGGCAATGAGAAAAAAAGAAATCTGGCCATGAGTAGCAACATGGATGGACCTTGAGGGTGTTATGCTGAGCGAAATAAGTCAGGCAGAGAAGGACAGCTACCATATGTTTGCATGTATAGGAGGATTAGGAGGAACTTAACAGAGGACCATAGGGGAGAAAAAGGGAGGAATTAGCGGGGGAGGGGGAGAGAGGCAAACCATGGGAGACTCCTGAATGCTGAGAACAAACTGAGGACTGATGGGTGGGTAGGTGGGGGGGGGATGGGCAAGGGGGAGGGCACTTGTGGGGATGAGCACTGGGTGTTACATGGACACCAACTTGACAATAAACTATTTAAAAAAAAAATGGTCTTGATTCATCTACAGTTAGCGACTACATTTTGGTTACTTAACTACCCAGTGCCTGACAGTCTCCCTCTGATGTTTTAGAAAAGCCACATTCTTACTATACATGTCTAGATTAACAAACAGGAAAACTTTGTGTACTTGAAGGAAAACGGCATATATTCAATAGGACTTTTTATTGAAAAACTAATAATTACAAAGATGTAGATGATTTTAAAATGTATGATATATGACCAATATGGTCAGTTTAAGAAATAATTTACATGTCATGTAGAGACTTAGGTTTTTTTTTGTTTTGGTTATAAGAGGTGTCTAAAAATTATATTTTTCCAGGGCACCCGGATGGCTCAGTCAGTTAAACGTCCGACTTCGGCTCAGGTCATGACCTCACAGTCTGTGGGGTCAAGCCCAGCATCAGACTCTGTGCTGGCAGCTCGGAGCCTGGAGCCTCCTTCGGACTCTGTGTCTCCCTCTCTCTCTGCCCCTCCTCTGCTCATGTTCTGGCTCTCTCCAAAAATAAACATTAAAAAAAAAAAATTGAACAAAACGAAATTCTAATCCAGAATTTGGTTCTACCCCTGCTAAAGTTACTACTGATGAAAGTAACTTCACTTAAGTGAAATGAATGCACATCCTTTGTAAGAAAAATGGTGCTCTTTCAAATGCTTATCTAATATCTTCATATTGCTAGCTTAATAGTTCTACTAGTTATTACTCACATTGAGTTTTAAAAGGAGTTTATTAAAGAATGTTTTCAGGAAGGCAACAATGTTTGTTAAAAAAAATTTGTTCATGCTGAAAAGGTAACAGGCTATAGTTGTAAGCTTCTTTCTATTGGAATTCTGATAGTCTAGCACAGTGTAGTCACTTCTGCGATGCTAGAATAAATAAGAAAAGTCTCTTCTATGCTTCTCCTCAAAAAAGCGATGAGTAGTAACAGAAGATGGCATAAAAAAGCCATTTTTTCCCATTCATTCTGTAGTATTGGAGCCAGTATCTAGGAAACAGAAGAAAAAGAGTAAATTCAAGGAGCAACTTAGTTTTAAATTTAATATTTTGAGAATATCTTTAAAACAGGAAATAACGGTGGTGGTGCTGTTGTTGAGGGTGGAGAGGAAAAGAAGGCAAGGCTGAGGGAAGCTGATCAAGGAAATGTCTTGAGAACTTAAATAACTTGCTTTATAAGGCAAAGGTGAAGAGAATTCTTAGCTCTCCATATTTAGGTTAGAGAAAAACCAAATTCTATTACTTGGCTCATTGCATAAGTTATACAAACTTGGTTCATTAAGTTGCTAGAGGATGATTTTTTTTTCCCCCAGGTCCTCTACTGTTCCCAAAGAACCATAACATATAATCAGGAGAAACCTGTATTTTATCTCCTGGTGAGAAACAGACTGAAAAAAAATAATTTTTCTGATTTCAGAAAGCTAATTCTTATGGAAAAAATGGGCTTATTTCATAGTAGCACTCCATTTATCTGGTCATTATGGAATAGTGTTTTCTCAATCACTTAAACTTCTAAATGGCAAAGTATTTATATTTTAATTTTGGAAAGAAAAAATTCTAAGACCGTATTCTATTCTGCTGACAAAATGCATGCGACACAACCGAGGCTTCTCTGAAGTACTCAACCGTTTTCTCCCTGACCATCAGTCCATACTCTGCAGCAAGCGGGGCAAACTCCTCAGAAGCTACTGCAGCAGGTAAGGCTGATTTACTACTTTTCATCCAGTGAATTCTCAAAAAACAGATAACTCTGCATCTTTAAGCCAGAGTAATCCACTGTAAGGACCACCAGACAGGAGCTTCTGTGAGGAAAATACTTGTGTTTACATGGACTCTTTGATATTACTAATTTGCACAGGGTCTTTTGACACCTCCCCTCCCCCCCCTCCCCCGGGGGTCGTCATTAACTGACTTTTTGGTTCTTAGTGATTTTTTTTCTTTTCGGTGGTTGCACTGGTGAGGGCTCCCAGCTATGTTTCAAGCAACTGCAACAGGCAATCTGCTAGTCCCATCTGTGCTGTCCTACAGGGCAGCCACCAGCGAGCCACGCGTGGTTATTTAAATGACATAACTAACTCAACAGTAAATTTCTTAGTTGCTTTAACACATTTCAAATACTTAATAGCCCTATGTGGCTTCTGGAAGGTACTGACGGAGAACATTTCTATAGGTACAAAAGCTTTACTGAACAGTACTGGGCTACATCATTATTTTGATAGAGGTGCAGCAGTTATAAATTAATGCCCAAATTCCCCAGTCTAGTAAAAACTTAGAAGTCTCAGGGTTATGATGATGCCATTAGCCTTAATTATAAGAAAAATAAGAAAAAAAAAGTATACATTATCTGACACAGAAATGTTTCCTTATAATCCAGGAACTAAAAAATAACAGACCTTTTCTGTCATTACAGCAAGAAAACAGTACTTGATATATTAAAAAGTCAACTTCACCTAAAGTTCTTAGAATGATTATTCCTAGCTAACCTTTTGAAAAGTGCAAGTCATTGTAGTGTTAGTAGTTTCAGAGACTTTCTGATATTTGGAAGAGACTTCGTTCTTTAAAAAGAGGGCCAAAGGTATTCATGCAACCATGAAAAGTGATATATTTGCAAATGTGTATGCATGCATACATGTAATAAAAGATACACAAGACTAGAAAGTTATGCCTTAAGATATTAAGTGATGTTATCTCCCGATGGTGTTACAAATTATGCTTTTCTTTTGTGTGCTTTTCTGTCTTCCCTACATTTTTCAGTGATTAGCTTATTTCTTTTGAAACCCAAAATACATAAAAGCAAATTATCTTGAGAAATTTAGGTTATTGCTTTCTACAGTTTCTTTTGCTTTTCCAAATTTCCCTTCTTAGAGAATGACCGTCTTCTCTAATTTCAGGAACAGCTGTTTTAAACACTAATGGTTCAGGTCACAAAGTAAAACCGTAAGTATATGGTTTAAAATATAATTAGCAAAAAGGAAATAACTAATCATGGAAGAGAAAGTATAGATGTATACTTTTTGATACGTTTAAGGACTTGAACAAGGTCCTAGGTCTGCTGTGGAAAATATATCTGCACAGATGTAACAGAGAGGGGAATGGATATTTACCATTATAACTGACTGATAAGGGTTTTATGGTTATTTAAAATCTTTTACAAGATTACTTTTAAATATAAAATGTAGGCCGGATGCCTACCCAGCAACACAGAACCAGAGGATAAATTGTCAAAATTAAACACTTCAAATGTGCAACTGAAAAAACTTAATTTGCTTATCTTTAACCCACACAAATTCAATGTGTGTAAGTAGTCTACATGTCATATGAAATGTCCATGCCTAAAGTCATTAAGAGGACTGTTTGAGATTTGAGACCTGGAATTCAGAATCCAGCTGAGACAGAGTCTAGATCTCTTATCCTTTTCCCCCTTTAAGGACTCACAAAAACAAGATTTCAAGTAGCTTTGCTTTCACAGTAATTAAGTAAACACTTACTTTTACCATCACAGGCTACAATTTTCACTTTATCCACTTTAATAAGTTCTGTCACCTCTCTGAATTCAACATCATTCAATACAAAAGTCCACACATTATCGCAGAATCTGTATGTATTTAGAGAGCCCTTTAAAACAAAACATTTAGACATACCATGAAGTCATTTTTTAAGCAAAGCAAGCTGAGAACTCAGTTACCAAGAATGTAATCCTTAAAACAGTATGACTATTTAATACTTACCTTACGATTTTCCTTAATTTTCATCCTGCTATTTGAAAAAACAAAACAAAACAAAACAAAAAACACTACCCTGGATAAATTTGCTAAGAGTTAATACTGCAGTTAGCGGACTATTTTCAGTTCTGTAAGAGCCTGCAACTAACTTACCTGAACCCTGGAAAAAAAGCTGAAAGTAAATTTTAATTTGTACATCTACTGCCCTCTTATGGCAATGCGATGGAAGTTCACTTGAATTTTTACATAAAAACACTAAACCTCCTACAGTAGAAAATCCATACGATTTTGATTCCTCCCCAATTTAACCAATAGCCTACTGACCAGAAGACTTACTGATAACACAGAGTTGATTAACATGTTTTGTGCATTATATTCTATATTTTTACAAAAGTAAGCTACAGAACAGAAAAAGCTACTAAGAGAATCTTAAGGAGAAATACTGAGAAAATCTGTATGTAAGTGGATGCACGCAGTTCAAACCCATGTTTTTCAAGGGTCAACCACATTTTATTGTATGTGTTAATCCTCTGAGCTTGTACAAAAGCAGGGACTACCCAAATTTTAACCCTGTGTGTTGGATGAATTATTGTTTTATAGCCACTAGAACTACATTATTGTCCTGTGTAACTGAAAGGATTTTATTTTTTAGGAGCTTAAACATTAAAAGGAAATTTTTGAAGAATGTGGTAAAAGTGCAAAGAAAGACACAAACCGAATGCAATCAAAACAGACATATCCACATGGAATCTTCAAATATGAAATTTAGTATCTGGTAAGAGATTTATAAACCCCAAACCTTCAATTCAGAAAAACATTCTCTGCAGTCTTACTTATAAAAATGTGATTAGGGAAATTGTGATGGCTATGAACGACTTCATGAAAATTTAAAAATATGAATAATTAGCATTTGTTGGGTTATGCTAGGTAGGCTCTGAGGATACAAATACGATCCCTGCCTTCAGTGAGCATAGGATAGCAGGGGAGATGATTAAAACGAGAAAACATACAGCACAGCAGTTACTATGAAAGAGGAGTAAGCTCGGGACACCCAAGGGTATGGAAGACAAGGGGCACAGAAGGCTTCCTCTCCCAAAGTGAAGCTGAAGTTGAGTCCTGACAAACCAGTAAGTTAAGGGAGAGGTGGGACCATGGAAAGGAAAACACAGACTTGGAATGGGATAGCTAAATGTCAGAGGCTCCCACGGTGAAGGAGGTCCTGGAGAACCTTGGAAAGATTTGCTGTATCCTATACTTATTAGGTCAATGAAGGATTTTTGAGGAGAGGAATAACACGATCAGATTTGCATTTCTGGTGATAACATGAATTGATGGGGGAGGGGGGGGTGGTTCTGAATGGAGGCAGAAGTTGATGCCTGCAAGAAAGGTCAGAGTGGCTTTACTACAGCAGCAAGGAAATGGAAGTGGAGAGATTTCCTGATAGGACCTGACGTAGGTCTACAGTGGGGAGACAAAATCTGTTAATTCCTAAGTTTCTGTTTCCGGTAACAGTGCAATCATAGGAAAAGCCAGTTTGATTTGGAACTTACTGAGTTTGAGACCTAAGTCACCATGTGCAGTAAGCAGCCGGGGTGTGGAAGGAAGCCTGGGAGCATGAGCCTATTGACTTTAGGAGCCCTAGAGAACCCAAAGGAATACCAACAACTCAACAAAAAAAGGGTCTGAGAGAGAGTGAGGTCAGCGAATAGAAGCTTGGGATAGTATAGTTTCAACAGAGGATGTAGTATCACAAATTATGCATTAGGTTTAGTAATAAATAAGTGGTAAGAAAATTTTGAGTGGAGTGGTGAGGTTAATGCACAGAAAACCATTTAGGACATACTGTAAAGTTAAAAAAAATTAGCTCTTTTTTAGCTACATTCTGAGCCTCTGGAAGGTTACATAGCTAAATGTCAATTTTAATGTTCTCTTTTAGGACCCCTGAATGCTAAACTATCCAGTTGGTGAGAACTATGACAATAATCTGAACAAGGCACGTCACTGGGATACTTTCAAATCTAAGCTGAAATTCTGTTAATTGTAACATAATGTATATACTTTATTTTATGAAATTGCTATAAAACTTGACTGAAAGCCTTTTTAATGTTAAATGCTAATATTTAGATTAAAACAGACAACATAATCAAGAGCTTATTGGCTAGATAACTTATGTCAGCCAAGTAACTGATTTTAACAGTAATCGATCTGGCTAAACTGTATGTCAAATGCCCCTTTACTACATATATCACTATATCTGGGCAAAATTCTTAAAATATTTTAATACATGCTCTTTATAGAAACCTCTCACCTGCTAGCATAAAGGACCAGTTCAATGTCCTTGGTGAATATATATTTTGACTTTTTTTGCCAATAAATTTTAACAGAAATTATTAAATTCATATGAAGATTTCAAACAAAAAATTTTAACATGTGCCCCCAGGCTAGTAAAAATTATTACCAACAATACAGATTTAAATGTGACCTAGCAAAATGTCTTTGAAAATTAGAAATTACCAATGTGTCCTCTTTCTTGTCAAGCAAAATAGGTTATTTGCAAATATGCTGATCAAGTTTGCTGTAATGAAAGCCTGAGCTATGACAGACTAACACTAGCTTTTGGAAAATAGGCAAACTTATAATACACTAATGCAAGAGATGCAAATGTCAAATTATGTTTAATTTTTTAAAATGCCTTATTTATTTTAGAGAGAGAGGAGGTGAGAACAAGGGAGGCACAGAATGTAAAGCAGGCTCCTGGCCCTGAGCTGTCAGCAGAGAGCCCAACGCAGGGCTCGAAACCACCAACCGTGAGATCATGACCTGATCTGAAGTCAGATGCTTAACCAACTGAGCCACCCAGGTGCCCATGTTTACCTTTACCTAAATAGATACAAACTGGAAACCTACAGTAAAACAACTAGAAGATTCTAGGTATGGTCTACATAAGCAAAAATTTATATATTAACATGAATCAATTTACAATGAAAGCATCAGGTTCTGAATGACAAACCTGGCAGACTTATATATATATATATATATATATATATATGGTTATACAAAACTAATTTTGCCAGAAAAAATTCAAGAATCTGATAAAATTTTATAAAGATACATATTATTCCAGATAACTTTTAGGCATGTGAAACTGGTAAAAGACTTATTACATAAAATACATGCAGACTTTATACCTTCATTAAAATTATTCTCTGCATACCGAAGATCCACAACAATGCCTGGTATGTAATAAGACACTGAAATGTTGAATAAATGATTTGAAATAAAGTTTTTTAATTAAAAAAACCCCAAACACTACAGTTCTCTTAAATCAATTAACCTCTATGTTCTTTTCATATACTGTAACCTTTTAATTTCTACTTTATGGTATCCCTTAGAACCATGTAAGCATACATATTAGATAAATATAACCAAATACTGTACACTGTTATGACTACATTAATATCAATGTGGGTGCATCTATTCACCATGATGCTTTCAATGGGCCTTCGGTCTGAATTTACCTACTCTCATTTACCTTCCATCCTGCAGATAATGGTTTGAGCATTTGAGACCTGGGTGGCTCAGCCGGTTAAGTGTCCAACTTTTGATTTTGGCTCAGGTCGTGATCTCATGGTTTGTGAGTTCCAGCCCCACACTGGGGTCAGTGCTGACAGCGTGGGGCCTACTTGGGATTCTCTCTGCCTGCCTCCCTCTCAAAATAAATAAACTTAAAAACAATTAAAAGTGAGGTATAGTTATAAAACAAGTTCCAAAATTTGATTAGGCCACCTCTTCCTTTTCTGAATAATAAATATGTAGGGATCCTAAAAAGCACTGTTGTAACAACCAGTGGTGCAAGCTACTAACTTTAGGAAAATATCCTTACCCTGAAATTGACTCTGTTCCTGACCCTCTGCGCCAATGCTGAATTTATAGCTTTATCAAACTGAAGAAGAACTTGGAGAGCAAGTTGGGGGGTGATCTGTTGAGACTGAGAAAAAGTAAAGGTCATAAATCCTCTTAAGGAAGGACATTAAAGACAAAATACATATGAGTTATCATCTAAACTTTAACTGACATTAATCAGAACCTCTTAAACTAGGATCTCTCATTCTTCTTTGCCATAACTGACCAAAGTAAAGCCTGACCATATTTTCTTGCACTGTCTTGAGTCAAACAGAATTCTGAAAAGAAAACATGCAGTGATGTTACACTGCCAGGACCAAACTCTATCCCTCCTTTACAGTGTCTGGAAAGAGGCATTCAATAAGCTGAAGGAACCAAGTTTCTTTTAAATAAATAAAAACCAGAGGACTTAATATATTATAAAAATCTAATTTCATTAAAGCTCATAAAATGTATGAAAATGAAAGTACTTAATATGTTCTTAGAGAAGTTAATTTTAAAGATTACTTCTCCTAAAACTGAAATACAAATTCAAATTTAAATCTCAAAACAGTTTACTGAATTTTCCAAAATTATCTTAAAGATACACAGATATGCCTTTCTTATAAGAGAAAACGAATAATCTCAATTTTTATGTTTAACAATAATCTTTGAAAAATTCGGCATGTTACACCTTGTCATTTGATCTTCATTATATTTTACGCCCTGGAGTCAGGATGGTATAATGCACATGAACTTGCAGTTAGTCATCATAATACTGACTTGGTGGGTCAGAGAGTCTACTAAGTTCTCTAATTTCCTATCTCTGCCTGAGAGAAAGGATATAACAAGAATTACTATAGACCCATCTAAATAAAAACTGACGGTTAGTCTCCCACCTGTATGAGCTCATCAAGACTCTCCTGGAGACTGTTTCCCAAAGTGGTATTTCTGTATAACTGATATGCCATGGCTTAGGAGGAAGCAACGGTTTTTCTTATTCAAGCTTGCATTGATGTCCTAAAAATTTAATATGAAAGTATCAAACATTATAACCATGTATGTAATACAGTCTATATGCTATCAGAACCCTTAATAATTGCAAATTGTCTTATAACTAAGAATTACAAAGAACAGTTAAAAATGACTTATTTTTTCCGTTATTTTTACTATTTCTTTTAAAGGTCTGCCTTTTAACCTAGTCTAGAATGAATTTGTTGCACATTACCATTCCTTTCTCCTTACTGTGAAGTCACTGATCAGTCTTCAGCTTACACTTACATGTCTTCGCTTCATTTTCGTTTTTCCTTAACATCTGATATTTATAGAGTGCCTACCAAGAAGAGAGATAAGGATACACTCCTGACTCCAAAAAACTTAGACTCTAGAGAGGGTAACAGATATAGAAAATAGTACTTAACTTAATAGAGAACAGAAATCATGAGTATCTACGTAGACAGACCTATATAGTGGAGATCTACCTGTGGACTACCTGGTAGGTGGAAGCTCCCTGTGGACTGAGTAAACTGGTTAACAAAATCTTGATTCTTCAAGCTAGGTTTCAGCCAAGCAAAAGAAAAGAAGAACAGAATGAGTAAAGCCACCAGAGTATGAAATGATACAGTTTAAGGTGTGAGTATGAATAGGCAGTGGCAGGAGATGGAGCTGAAAAAGATGTCATGGATGGACTTGTTCCCTGAAGACAGACACCAGGGTTTTACAGTGAAGCCCTCTAGGAGAGGTCAGACCAATGGGCAGCAGTCTGAAGAACATACTTGGAGGAAAGGAGGGCTCAAATAGGGTGGCAGTTGCACAGTTTCTACAAATACTGAACTGTGCTGCATGTCATATACAAGCTCACTGACCTCATGGCACTTTCAGCTTAGAGATGGATAGGAGACCTATTCAAGGAGTTATCAAATAAAACTCAGCAAAAATAATAGTTATCAGTCTTCACAATCTACACCCATGGAATTTGATACAGTAGATCATTTCTGCCTCCTTGAAACCTTTTCTTTTGGGATGCCACACTCCATTCTCTCCTCCCAGCTCACTGGATATTACTACGTTTTCTTTTGCTGGTTCCTCCTCAGCAACCTGACTTCTACTGCAGTGCCCTAAGGCTTCTGAGGTCTTCTCTGTATGCTTAGTTACCTCATTCAGGCTTATGGCTTCAACTCCTATCTGCTGATGACTCCCACATGGATATCCCCAGTCCTTGTCGCCATATATAAAATTGCCTCCTTAACACTGCATGAAAATATCAAGTAGGGTAGCTCAAGTGAAATGTGACAAAAACCAAATTCCTGACACTGCCTTTCCCCAAACCTTTTCTGCCCTCGGCTTGCTCACCTTGGTAAATAGTAAATCTAGTCCTGTGTAATTAAGACACCCCCCAAAATTTTACATTCAACCTTAGCTTCTCTCTCACTCTGCATCCAACCTGTCAGCCGATCCTTTGAGCTCTTCCTTCTAAGTGCAGCCAGGAGCTGACAACTTCTGCCATCTCCAGTGCTATCATTAAGTCCTCATCAACTGCCACCAAGATTACTGGGGTAGCCCTGTAAGAGCGCTCCCTGTTTCTACAACTGCCTATAACACCCCTGCCTCTAGAGCAGCCACACTGAGCCTTTTAAAACATAAATCAAACCACAGCACTCATTTATTCCAAACCTTTAATAGCAGTATCCTATCTCAGAATAACAAAGTCCTCCTAATGGTTTGCGAAGCCGACATGATCCGGGCCCCCTACTACCTCACTGAAATTCCCTTCTTCTACTTACTCCGTCATTCATTCTGCTGCAGTCATACTGGTACCTTGCTGTTCTTCAATATGGGAAGATATTCTTGCTTTAGGGCCTTAGCACTGTCATTTTTGCTTCAAATGTTCTTCCCAGATCCCTCCATGGTTCACTCCCTGATTTAATTTAGATCTCTGCTTTATCAAATGTCACTTCGTCAGAAAGGACTTCTGTGACCAACGTATAAAAAAAGAACTACCTCCTTTACCCCATGTACTGCTTTAACTTTCATTCACACTGTTAATTGAAGCTGACACACATAAGCTTACTGTCCCCATCCACTAAAACAGATGTTCCAGAAGGGTGGATTTTGTTCAGTTAAAATATTTACCATCTACAACAATGCCTAGTATGTACTCAATAAGTTATTAGTGAACAAATAACTTGGTGGTTATGGCAAAATGCTAATATCAAATATTATAAATTTGTCACAGTGTGATACAAAGTTTTTTATGTTACTCAGGAAAATGAAGCAATGAAAACTTCCAGACTCTCAAAATGGTATCAAACCACCTACCAATATCTGTAAGCACATATCGGCCTCCCTGCCTGTCACTATGCCAAGCCATCCATGCTGTTCTACAAATACAATTTTTCAACCGGTGCATCAAGCCAATCCCCCTGGTACACTCAAGAATACTGTTCCAGCAACTGAATTAGTCCTTCTCCCCCTCAACACCAAATTTCCCATCTCTAAGGATTACTGCCATCAGCAAACAAACAAGGTGGCTACTTCTCTTACCTTCCAAAAAAAAAAAACAAAACTTCAGGGGTGCCTGGCTGGCTCAGTTGGTACAGCATGTGACTCTTGATTTAGGCTCAGCTCATGATCCCAGGGTCCTGGGATCAAGCCCTTGATGGAGCCCTCTGCTGGGCTCCACGATGAATGTGAAGCCTGCTTAAGATTCATTCATTCATTCATTCATTCATTCATTCATTCATTCATTCTCTCTCTCTCTCCCCCCGCCCCCCACTTCTGCAGGGCTCAGGTGTGCTCTTGCTTTTTCTAAAATAAATAAGAATGAAAATAAAAAGTCTCAATTCCCTTTCCTCATAGCTGCATTCTATTTCTCTGTTCCTTTGTGAGAAACACTCTCAGGAGTTACCTGCACTCTCCATCTCTCATTCTTCCTCTCCCATTTTCTCTTATACTCACTCATAAGCTTTGCCTCCAACCCTCAAATGAAACAGATGGTGAACTAACGGTATTGGTAAAGCTAATTCAATTTCTTAGTCCTCACCAGACTTAATCATTTGACACAGTTGATTACTGTGAAGCTTAGCTTCTGGGACATCAATCTTTTTGGGTTGTTCTCCTTTTTTTTAATGTCTATTTATTTTTGAGAGAACGAGCAAAAGGTGGAGGAGGGAGAGAGAGAAGGAGACACAGAATCCAAAGCACGCTCCAGGCTCTGAGCTGTCAGCACAAAGCCTGACATGGGGCTTGAACTCACGAACTGTGAGATCATGACCTGAGCTGAAGTCAGATGTTTAATTGACTGAGCCACCCAGGTGCCCCTGGGTTGTTCTCTTAAACTCCCTGATTTATCCTTCCCTATATCATTTGTTAGTTTACCCTGTTCTCTCTGAATTCTCTGTTACAAATCACTGTCCTTGGTCTTTTGCTGTCTACACTTATTCCTTAGGATAACATTCAGTTTCATAGTTTTAAGTATCATTGCCGATGATTCCTAAATTCATATGCTAGCATATACCCTGCCCTTGAATGCACTACTGGATACAACTGCTTACTCAACATCTTTACTTTTTGTTTCTCCCTTTTCAGTTGATGTAGCTCCGTACTTCTATGGGTTTACACAAAAACCTTTGAAGTTATTCCCCACTCCCCTCATCTCACCTCCACATCTAACCCCTAGCAAATCTTGTAAACTCTATCTTCAAAATGCATTCAGAGTCCATCCATTTCTCACCATTTCATTGTTAGCACCCTGGTCTGTGCTGTGACCATGTGCCACTGGATTACTGAACTAGCTTCCTAACTGGTTTCCCTGCTTCCACACTGCCCCTACACTTTAATCCCAACTCGGCAGCCAGGTAATCTTTTAAAACTTAGGTCAGAACATACCTCTTTTCTGTTCCAAATCTTCCATTTCACTCAATCCTTACAAGAATTTGGCTGCCTGTGGCCTCTCCAGCCAGATCTACCATCTCTCCTTGCTCTCACCCAGTGAGTCTGCAGACACACTGCCTTCCATGCTATTCTTAGAACGGGACAGGTGAGTACCTGCCTATGTAAGCCTTTGGCTGTTCTTTCTACCTGGAATACTGTTCCCTCAGTTACCCATGATTCTATGAATTCCTTCAAGTACAGCTTGTACTGAATGAGCCTTAAACTGATGGCCATACTTAAAATACCAACTTGCACCTCCACTTTGGAACTTCCCAATTGCCCTTTTTCTGCTATGCATTTTTGATGGCAACACCACCTTCTAACATATTATTTAATTATGTTTATTTTTTGCATCCTCCAATAGGGGCTTCTGTCCGTTTTGTCCACGGAAGTAAACCAGTTGTCTAAAACAAACAGTAACTAACTCATAATGGAAGCCAAATAAACATCTGCTTGGTAAATTAATGAGGGCAAAAAATCTATGGGTGGGTGGAAGGGGGAGGGGTTTAAAAGGGCAAGAAGATGTCCCAATAGACTTAAATCTGACATGGTAGGAGTACCGACTCCTGTGTCATGCCCACTTGACAAAAGTCTAAGAGTTATCTAGAAAATAATTGTAACAATGAACTATAACAATCTGGGAAATTAAAAAAAAATCCCATTTGCTCCACGGACTGACAGCGTGGAGCCTGCTTGGGATGCTCTACTCTCTCTGCTCCCTGCGCTCTTCTTTTTCTCTCAAAATAAACAAACTTATAAAAAATATCTCATTTACGATTGCATCAAAAATAATATAATAAAAAGAAATTTAACCAAGGTGAAAGTCCTATACACTGAAAACTATAAGATACTGATAAAACAAACTGAAGACAAAAATAAATGGAAAGATATTCCACACTCTTGGGCTGGAAGAATATTGTTAACATCTCTATACCACCTAAAGCAATCTACACGTTCAATGCAATCCATATAAAAATTCCAATGGCATTTTTCACAGAACCACAACTAACCCTAAAACCTATATAGAACAACAAAAACCCACACAGCCAAAGCAATCTTGACAAAGAACAAGAAAGCTGGAGACAACT